TAGTTATGGAGCAATCAATTCAAGTACGGGAAATTACATAATATGAAAGGAGATAGTTAATGGATTTGGGGGATTGTGTTTTAATTTATTGAAATCTACTCAAAATTAGTAAATTAGTATTTTAATTAAATTAATCTACAAATTGGGAAAAGAAAATCGTAATATTTAATGGAACTTCATTATATTATTATGGTGTAAATTTGCATAAATATCCCTAAATATTTGTTAATATATAATAATAATTAATTTTAAAACTATTTCAATTTAACACTTAAAAGAAATCAAACATTCTTTTTTTTTTACTTTTCTTTTCTTAAAGACTACTTTGTTTGACTTGATTTTTAAGGTTATGAGTGGTTAAGACTTATAAGGTTATAAATACTTTAAAAATAATATTATCTAAATTATAAATAGTTAATATTTGACCCATATTAATAATTTGAGTAAAACAAAATTTAATAATAAAATATTAGGAATGTGTAATAGAACTGCATAATAAATGTAACATGTGACATCACACCCCCATTTATGCATAAGATAAAAGTTTATATATATATATATATATTTTTTTTTTTTTTCTTCTGAAAATTGAATAATTTTCTAAAAGAAAAATTATTAAAAATGGTAGATAACCTAATGTTTGAGAATAAATGGTTAGATGGACCAGCTAAATATTTAATTTTTCAAATGGGTTGGTTCGGAATATAATAAAATATCTAGAAAATTCAAACAATAAAAAATAAGAATAAACTTAACCTAAGTACATACATTATCTATAAGCAATTATTAAAGTAGAAAAATCAAATTATTAAATGATTACATTTATGAAGCATTGATGAGGATGCATCCACGCAAAATTTTATATTATTTGGTGACTAAACATTTAATTTAAGTATTAAGATAATTACTCCAATCAATTCTAAACACATGGTCTTGTTTGGTTTGTATTTAAACTATTATTTAAATAACACTTTATATTCATTAAATGCGTCTAATAAAAATTCCAGCCACCTATTTGTAGTAAAAGCCTACTCCTAACTTTCTCCTCATATCAAATAGGATTTTCCTCCTACCATTAATAGATAATGGTACTAGCTGCCCCAGTGTGTATATATATATATATACATACATATATGTATGTATATATACTATATGGAAATAAATTTGAGACACACATGAAACAATACTAATTTAAACAAGAAAACATAACAATCTTTACTGAATTTTCTCCCACAGTAAAAAAATTTCTAATCTATCCCAATAATATAAAAATCATTAGTTTAATATATAGTTAGTACCTTCTTGGGTTAGAATCGATCTGGGTGTGTGTGTATACATATATATATATATATTATTGTTTTTTAAGTTATTTTTTATTCTATCATGAATTTATACAAAAAGAAATGTACTTTTTTTAACTTTGATAATTTGTAGAGTAAAATCTTTATTCGTACACTAGACGAGTATATATTATAGGGTCGATGGATCTTTAAGATTGTAGGAAGAAAGTATATATGTGTGTATATATATATATATATGTACGTATATAGGAATGAAGCTTATATAATAACGTACCTCGCTTTCCAACTGATCAAAACTGTTATTTAAAACCCAGTCAGCCTCTTGAAAATTAGAGAACTGACTCAACAGCAGATCCACCAAAGCCGGGTCGGAGTTCGGGTCACATATAAAAGACGGTAGATCGTTCACGCTCAAAGTTGGCAAAGGCGGCACCGTCACATTTTCACTATTCGCCGGAACTTTTATTTCCCCTCTACGAAAATGATAATAAATAGCATTAACAGAGTAAGCTTGAGTGAAAAACGAAGCTCCCCGGAGACCCAGTTTCTGGCCAACGTCCAAAGCCCACGGCATAATCGAGTCGTAGATAAGAAACTTGGGAGGACAAGAAGATTGGTTGAGACGAATAATGAGATCGGTTAGGGTTTTAGAAACGTTGACCTTAATGCGGTCGAGGTAAGTTTCTTCGTCGGGGATGATCTCGCCTTCTTGAATTCCGTCAGAGATGGGCTCGACGGAGATCGAGGAGGAAGTGGCCGGCGGCCGGTCTTGCATGGATTTTGCGGTGTATTTGGTAACGGCGAGGGTGACTTTAAGGCCTTTGGAGACTAAACGTTTGGAGAATTGAACGAGTGGGTTTATGTGGCCTTGTAAAGGAAAGGGAACGACGAGGACATGGTTGATCTCTTTCTCCATTTTTTCCTGTAGAATGTCGCCGCCGGCGACGACTGCAACGTCTCCCATCTATTGCCGGTATAAAGAATGATGAGCGAGGGAGTTGTGTGACGCAGAGAGAGTGGAGAAGATGACGGGTATTTAAAGGCAAAAGATCCAGGAAATGTCTTTAATTCGGTGGGCCCAAGTGTCGTTTAAGTCTAAAACGACAGTGTAAATTATAATTTTATAATTCATTACGTGTTTTGTTTTTTTTTTTTTTCCCCTAATTAGGCATTGGATATGGAAATTGGAAATCACGTGGGCTAATTTTATAATGTTGCCAGCAGCAGAAACTTGGATGTGCGAATTTTGACCTTGACAAATAGAAAACATTAATGCTAAAGGGAAAAAGTTCATCTGATCTTGGGAAGTTTCTACACAGAATATATATATATATACATTTTCCCCCGGATGTTCACACCTGTAAACCATTGGTCAGATGATAAGAGATACACACACACACATGTATATATATATATATATATACATACATACATGTATAGTCATGTATGAAAGTGATAAAATCAATTGATATTTGACACGTATATTTTATATATATATATATACATACATACATGTATCGTCATGTATGAAAGTGATAAAATCAATTGATATTTGACACGTATATTTTATATATATATACATACATACATGTATCGTCATGTATGAAAGTGATAAAATCAATTGACATTTGACACGTATATTTTATATATAATATGTTTCAATCTAAAACTTTAATAAGCCGCCTTTTTAAAAAAAATTTAACCCCATCAATAAAATATTGGATTTTTTTAATGAATTTAAAAAGATTAATTTAGATTTTTAAGGCGTAATAATTATCTTAATTAAATTTTTTTAGTTATTATAGTATATTTTTTAATTAATTAAAAAATATAATAAATTTATTAAAATTTAATCTAATTTAATCGTTATATTTTTACAAATATATTAATAAATTAATTTTTTAGTCTTACCAAATTAAAAAAATAATTAACTCTAATTTATAATACCAGTGCACTCAAACTATATAGTCAGTAATATGCTTAATTTGGTATGTGTAATTACATTTAATTACATCTGGTTAGTGGGTACCAAGCAAAACGAAACCATCCCAGTTATATAGGAAGTACATATGTATATACATATATATATATATATATAGGTGCCAGGCTGCATCTAATAAATTATATTTTCAGAGGCTAGTGGAGAAGCAGCTGCTTTTATTTATTGCCTTGTGCTGGTTTTTATATTGAGTGTTCAAACGTCAACCACACGAAATCAAGATATAACCATGCTCTTATTTATTTATTATATAATCACACGGTAAGTATAATTAATTAAAATTAATACATATTTAATCATTAATAAAATAATCGAACCAATTAATCTAAAATTTACACTATTGGGTTTGTTTTTTTGAAAAAATAATTAATAATTATAAAATTTTAATACACTTGTATATATATGGTTTTGATACGATCATTAACAGTATAGTTGCATATGCATGGCTGTATCGTTCCACATCCCTTTTGCAGGCATAAATATTAAAAATTAAAAACCAGGAAAAAAAAAATTAAATACAAGATAATTCATTGCATTAATTGTAACAACTCCAGTTTCTTTTACAACCCATTCCGCTTGCTGCCAACCTTGAATATCATATATATATATATATATTGTTAATGTGTATACGCAAGTATGTATATATATATATATATATATATATATGAAGTGGGTATATATGTATTCATGTTCTAATTAAAATTTTAGTTTAAAGTAATATTATCCTTATAGATAAGTTTTTCTAGAGGTTGCTATACTTATTTACTATCATAATCAAGTAGTTGCCGTAATTTATGCATTATAATTAATGTTATTTGTCTCTTTGTATTAATGGATTGTACTAATTTTACTTTTGATTTCTATTTTATATTATAATAAATCATATTATATATTAAAAAATTATATCGAAATGCCTTATTGACTTATTTTATAACTTTGAATGCATGTATCATTATTTTACGTGTTTACGTTTGAATTAGAAAAATGGACGTTAAAGATAAACGGAAAACTTGTGTGATTAAGTGACTGGATAAAACGACAGCCTTACTGGACATTCTGGGAGATGGTGGACGAAGCGGGTACACAGAGAACCCTACCGTGAATGTGTCTCATACCGGATAAGGTTATGGAGACTTGGTAACTTGGTACTCATATCGGACGGAGTGCTTCACCCTCATACCGAACGGAGTATTGAGGTTTGGTAATTGGACGCTCATATCGGATGGGGTATAGGAACGATCCGTAATTGAGAATGTTAAAGGAAAAAGTTCATGCGTAGCGGAGACACCCCCTTATGAACCCCCATGGATACCAGCAAGCTGGTGGAAAAAGGGATAATTGTTGTTTAATAATTTGAATATGAAAGTATAATATATGTTATGTTGCCAATTATATATAGAATCATGATACGTATAATATGATGATTTTCAATATGTTGTTTTCTATAAACCTCATTGCGGTAAATGCACGGTAAATGGTTTATTATTGATAAATGAATTTGCTTAATTTAGTGCTCTATTAGTTGTTTTCTGATATTTTATACCAACCTTTTTTTCTGTGTCGGTGATATAGTACGATATTCTTACTGGGTTAGTGTAACTCATCCCTTATTTAACCATTTTAGATCAAGAGTAGTAGGATCCAGGACCCGATCCGCAAGAAGATTGCGAGTAGATGTTAATTTTCTTTATTTTCTGTTCATTTTCTTATTTCTTGTATTTCTTTCAAAATGGTGAATTTCGTAACACTGTTTGGTACTTTAAGTTATCATGTAAGGAATGTAAACCTTGAACATTTATTTCACTTCTGCACTTTAATTATCAATTGTTTCTTTTAAATATTTCTGGAATCGTTACAGTTGGTATCAAAGCCGCGTTTCTCGGACCCATTCCTTACACAAAACCCTTAGGAAACACAAAAAACAATGAACTGTCACTCAACCTTTCCTTGTGAAATGTAGGTACAGACAGATGAAAAGAGGAAGACCCTCACTAAACCAAGCAACCCAGGAGGGTTAGCTTAGAGAGGATGTTGACCGGTTATTTGAGATGGTGGAAAGACTTATTGCTGCCCAGCAGGCCTGGGAGTAAAGGAGGGAGCTACCTGACCCTCCCCCGTTACCACAAGTTGAGCCACCTCTGTAGCGGAAAGATTCCAAGCCACCCCGATATGACCCTGGTCCCCCACAGTACCACCCGGTACCACCCCAATATGATCCGATGCCCCAGCCACCGCGTCACCCGGCACCAC